CTTTCCCTTACTCCAGCTTCTTCTCGTCACCCGCCTCTTTGCTTCCGACCTCTCTTTGACTCGTGTCACTCTCTGCTTCCGTTTAGAGCAAAGGGATGGTTTGCCTACTAAATTTCTCTCCCTTGCTCTCACTTACCACTTAATTACCAAACTTTTGTCGCTAATCCGATATCCGTTTCTCGCGGCTCGTTCTCTTGCCGTCTCTCTCTTTCTCTCCCGCTTTGACTGTTTCTAGTTTATGATTACGTGATTTACACTTACTAATGTTTCTGATAGATTTTTCTATCGTTTTGTATAAATGAAAAGGTAGAAAAAAATTGCGATGTAATATTACTGATCGTCAAAACTATAAATCAATGTACTTTCAATTACTAATTACTTTTAATTTATTTTATGTTGGTTTCGCTGCCATATATTAACGTTCCTATAATTTTTTTTAAATTCATTGGAGACATTGAATAAAATAACGTTACAACATTTTTGAAAATTGATTTTTATATTTTATTCGAAAAATCTCTCTCTCTCTCTCCAACAACAAAAAATGTTATTATTTGGCGTGTACATTTCATTTTACTGGCGCCCGAAATAAATTTATATAATACATATGCGTCGATTTATTTCTACGCGCAGAGCGTTTTCACGAGTAGCTATCAAGAGCCAGTTTCAGCCCCATCGAGAAAGAGAGTTGCTCGCAACTGCGCTCGCAACCCCACTGTTTCCATTAAACTTCACGCTTCCGGAACTCCATTAAAGTGAAAATCAGACCGCCTAATGTAATGCCCATTTCGTACAACAACGCGCCCATTATCGCCCCAAAGTGTCCGGCTCTGCAAAATCGAGGACGTTTGTTTACGCCACTTGACTGCTTGAGAGCTTTGAACGGTGGCACGAGTTAAGCAGAGAAATTAAAATTAGCGAATAAAACTATAAATTATTGCGAAACACGCTTGAAATACGTGCGGCAGTAATTCTCTAAATATACCTTTATTTTAGTAATATATTTAGTTCGTGAATACAGAAAGTTTGTTCGATAATGATAATGTAATAAAACCTGGAATAACTCAATTGATAATCGATAAAGGAGAAGGGAGGAGAATAACTCGTTATAAATTCTTTAAGATAGCAAATAAACTTAGCGTGCCATCTGTAATAAAAATTTTGTTTATTATGGATAACATGTTCGCGAAATTAAATTTGCGGCGAAAAATGCGACGTGCACGCCGGCATCTGTGTAAAGAGGCTAAGATGTGTCTAATTTTCAAATAGAAAGTAAGAAATTATAGAGGTGGAAAAAGAAAATTTAATTAAAAAACAACAATATATAACGGTTTTAATCCGAAGTTTTCTCATGAAATGCTCATTTGCATTCTGAATATATTTATTCTTAATTATATCGACCAAAATAAAAAAAATACAACTTAATTTGTAATGGAAGGTGTATAGATATCATTCTCAAGTGATATAATATTCGCGAATATCTTTTATATGTAATTATAGATTTAATTTATATAATTTATGTTAATCGTTTTATTTAGTAATTTAAAAATATTTTTAATTAATTAATTGTTCAACGTATTAAGAGCTCTGCAAAGGACTTTTTTATATATGTTATATAAGAAAATTGAATTATCTAATGATACTTCTTAGCTAGTTATCGAGGTGACGTCACCATCATAGATAATATTTACTTCTTAAACACAAGGTATCTACGGACGGAAACTGGCCAATGTTTGCAGATAGCTAATATTTATTTTAGTCGATTATCAATGTTAATGTTGACGCAAGCGCAATTTTACACGGACGGCTAATGCGCGCGTTAGTTGTTAATTATTCTCGAATACGGTTATCCACGTGGGGATAATTAGTGCTCCTCTTGAGGATTGCGCGCGGACGTGCTAGAGTATGAATTACTAGATACGGATATGGATAAATTGAGGTTTACAGCTGCGGTGCGTCAAATTGTGAGGCGAATTAGCTAAATCGACCCGAAAATAGTGCAGCGTCCTAAATTAATTTAAATGTTAGAAATTGTGTTATAGGGAAAGTATATATATATATACACATATATTTGCATATCGCAGGTACAATTTCTCGACATATTACCAAAACCCGACATATTGCCAAGCCCGAATTTCTTGCCCAAACGTAGATCGATTTTCGAATATTTTTCAACACTTTTTGTGATTAATTCGCGAATAAACTCAATTCGAATATCAGTGAATGCTCTCTTCGGATACATTATATGCTAATTTGCCTATCTCAAAAATACTATCCGAATTACGGAATAGGTATATCCAAATCTTCCCACGGGGGAGACACGTGATCGTGCTCTGGGGGCTGGTAACGCATGAATTACTATCGTCGAGTGCTGCAGATAAAGGGCTAGACTCGCGGCGGCAAGTAAAATCGGCATGGAGCGGATTAGGCAGATTAAACAGATTAAGCCGAAGCGGTAGGGGGCCGTTTGCCTGCCTCTCGGCACGGGGGACCGTTCAACCCCCTTGCTGCCGTATCAACGTCAACGCCCCAAACTTCGCGATAAGGAACCGCCTCGGTAAAGACGACGCGTGTGTGTTATGCTTGTTTGTATGTGTATGTATATATGTATGTGTGAGAGTATATGCTACATCCAAAATCTCCCGACCTCGCGCGAATTTCCCGATATCGTTGCATTCGATGGTACACCTCTCGATGATTCACGATTTTACGACGCGCTCTTATCAAAGTTATAGTAGGGCTCTATCTATCTAATTTTGTATAAACGATTGTAGACGGTAGCGCATATTATCTAGATTTAATTACAAACTTTGCGAAATATTATAGATAATTACTTTGTTAGTATAATACATGTACGCGCGATATTGTAAAAAAATATGATTACAACTTTCGTCCTTTTCCTACAGTCGTGTCGTCTCAAGGAGTTGGAAATTGGATTTCGGTTAGGGAAAAATGGTGGAATACATTGGTGTATCCGACGGAAATTCCGAGCACGCAATCGACGGAGCAAACATCAAGGGTGTACCTTCGAAAGTGCCGGCTACGTGTTTTCGCTCCTCCGCATGAAGAGAGCCGTGATTATTTTTCTGCTCGCGCTGTCGTGAGAATGTATACAAATGTGTAATATTCCGTATGCATCACGTGCAAGTTATTACCAGTACAGGGATTTACGTGGACAGAAGAAAGATGAACACGCGGCTCTCCGGTTGTAATAAGATAACGATAAAATTTATAAAAGAGAAGAAAGAGATGAAAAAAACGAATG